GAAAACCCCTTGGGTCCAAATTTTCCCCAACAGTGGAACTAAGATTCAAAGCCAAACCTCACCCTTTAACTAAAGCCAAAAGGAATTTCCAGTTACCCTTGGAAGAGAGCCCCCAAATTCTTCTTGGGAAGCTCTACTCCAGCACTGTTTCTGCTGGGACTCCACCTCTTCCAAACCACAGGGGGAAAACACAAGCAAAGCCATGCACAAGGCTGGGAGAGTAACAGGGAGAGACGAGTTACAACCACTGGCCTGTTCCTTGCCTAGAGAACAAAGACAGGAAAACTGTCTGCTTCTCTGTCCTGCTGGCCCAGCAACTGCCTGAAAAGACAGAGACTGAAAATGGTCTAATACCTCCAGAACTGGAGGAAAATAAGAGAAGGAAGAAGTGGGATACTCTATTTTCTGTACCCAAACTCATGAGTAATAGCATAGTATTTTTATTTCCCTTCCAGTATCACCAGCTGTCACTTACTAGTCCTCAGGACAAGTACGTTCCCTACCCCACCTGTACAGCTCCCCAGGCATGCAAGAAAACCACAAACAGCAGTGAGCATGCATGCACGCACACACATCAAAACGTGCATTTCACTGGAAGCAGCAACACTGCCTGCTCCACAGGTCTGGAGGTTTTTCTGGGTACTACCTGCATGATCCGAGTGGGGATCTAGCCAAGGGAAGAAACCTGAAAATCAAGGCAGGATGGAAAAGGCATGATCACCAACAGCTTTCATTCAGTGAGTAATTTCACCGGACTACTATGCCAAAAAGCTTTTGAAGAAGGAATTTGTCCAGCTGTAGCTTAGAGCCTTTGGTGTGTAGTCCCCACAGACTTCACACAGTGGGATTTGCTATCCTTGGTTAAACACAGATCAGCAAAGGATTTCAGGTGAAGGCAAACATCATACCCTCAGTTCCTTCACTCTCAGCATATGTGTGGCTTGGAGAAGCATCTGCTCAAAAAAATCTATGGATTGTCAGCCTTGTTGCTAGGGATCTCCACAGCCTGGCTAAGCCTGTCCCTTGAGACAGCAAACAGAATTAACAAACACCAGATATTCCGGGAAATAGAAGGAATGCCCATCCATGGGGAACTAGGTCCAACAACACTTTCTATTCACCATGCTAGCAAGGACTTCACATGATAGACTGGATTCAAACTATAGACCCAGAGGGGTCTAAAACACTGCAGAGAAGAATCCAGAAGTGATTCCCAGACAAGCCCTTTATGAAGAAAGGAACAGGAAGAAAATGGGAGCACTTGAGCACAGCAGATAGAGGAATTTAATACTGAAGCTAAGTGAGGGGTATCTCAGACAGGGAAGCTCTCCCACCATTTCATTTTTACACTTCTCATGTAAGTTGCATAAGCAAGGGTGAGATGAGCAAACCTTCCACCAGGTGTTCCATTGGAACCATCACCCTTTCCATCAGAGTAGATGCCTTTGGAGTAGATGACTATTCAGGGTGCACTGAGGACCTGAAGAGACATCATCTTGCAACCACAGCCCGGGAGAAAGAACTGAGCAGGCTGAATGAAACCATCATCATTGCTGTGTTTCACCACTACAGCCAGACTCAGCACTCTGTACCTGTAAGGTTTGCCTCAGCACTACATCCAGTCTTTAGGGAGACAGACCAGACCTCACAAGATCCACGTCCATTACGTACTGCAAAACCCACCTGGCCTTGGACATGCAAGCAACACAAGCAATATTTACCTGTGGGAGGAGGAGGAATGGCTGCTGGCAATGGTTTAGTAGATGGAGCTCCAGGACCTCCCTGAGGATAACCCATGTTCATGGGGCAGTTGAAAGGTGCTGAAGAGAAGTCTAGAGGAGACTGGCTTGCCACAGGGAGAGGACAAGCTGCAGGGAGCTGAGATGATGGGACTGAGGCTGGAGGGAAGAGGGCAGGTCTGGGTGGTGGAACGCCAGGAGATGTCATGGGCATGGACTGTCCTGGCAGAGAGGGCTGGCTGGAGAAGGGAGCAGGACCAATAGGTCTGACTCCCACTGGTCCAAATGGCTGAGACTGTGACACAGCTACAGACAACAGAGAGAGTGTATCAGAATCACTTGTTTCATATGCCAACTACTCATGACACTATCCTTTTTGGTAGTAAGCCTTCCCTTCCTCAAGCCATACCCTTTAATACCCATGCTGCTCCTAGCCCAGGCTACATCAGTCAAACTGCCACCAAGCCAGCTGTGGATTTTCCACCCCAATATATGCTTAGTATCAGCACACATGCAGCAACAGTTACTACAACTGGATATGTCAGAAGCACTGAGAAGCTTCTTAGACAGCTAACTTGTTCTTTGTCAGTACAATAGGCCTGTGAGGAAAAAACTATAGCAGTCATCCACGTTGAAGGCTTTAGTCTCAGCAAACCTAGAAATGGACATAACTATCAGACAATGCTTACCTGGCCCTGTGACAGTTGCTGGATTCAAGCCCAAGTTGTACTGTGGATATGGGTGCCCTCTGGAATAGACACCTGCTGGTGGACCCGTGCTGGCCTGGGGAGGGGCAATGTGGTGAGGTGTCACAGACATCGCTGGCACTGGCTGAGGTGTGAAGAGGGAAGGCACTGAAGGCTGAGATGGTGCTGAAGGGGCAAATGATGACTGATAGTTGGGCTGCAATTAAAAGACACAGAACTTGCAAATGGATGACAGAGTTATATACATACACATACTAGCAAATGCAATTTCTATCCCTGTCACTTCTCAGACACCAGAAGCTGCTGCTGCTGTTGGTACCCTGGATGCACTCAATCAAAGGCCTTTCCCACCATGCTCAACAAGATGAGTACCACACTCTTCAGAGTATTCTCCAGCTCTCTAAAGGATTAGTCCTCAGGAGCAAGTTCCCATATAATGACCTCCTGGAAGCACAACCAGAGGAAATAACGAAGGAACAATAATGGAATAATAGAGGTTGTAAGCAAAACTTCAAGAACTGAGATGAAGCCATGAAGTCATACTACACTAATTTTACAAAAATATCAGGGTAAGGATGAGCATAGGAAAATGACCACAGTCCCTTTCACCCTAAGATTTGACATCTCAGTGGATCACTACACTTGTAACATTCTCCTCCAGGGACTGCATGTAGGACAGGGCTATGTGAAAAGATGCCAGACAGCTTTCTTCTGAATTGTCATAGAGCTTGCATTTGCTCCAGTGACGGACATCACTGAAGAATTCTTCAGTGTCTGCAGTTCATGTCATCTCATATTACTTCATATGCCTTCCACAACTCAGTAGCCTTCCTCCCTCTTCCCAAGCCACAAATACCTGAGTTTAGGGCCTACCTTCTCTGGATGTCTGGGACCTGCTTTGTGGGCTGCTCCTTCAAGAGTGGAACCACCCTTGGTTGCTGTGGGTTTAATGACCCCTACATGAACACGAGTGTAGGGAAAAGGGGGTGGCCGCTGATCACCCACATTCTCTCCTTGAGCATGAAAGAGCCGGTCTCGGAGCTGTTCAATCAGGAGCTGAAAGAAACTACACTTTAGAAGAAGCACTTTGAGAGCCCTAGATGGAAAATGCTGGGGAGGCATTTAAAGTAGACCCTGACCTAAAGCTGACTATGAATTGAACTGCAAAAGTAACCATGCCCCCAACAGCCACCAGGAAAAAAACCTCAACAAATGGTAAATGACAATCTGGGACATCACCTGTCATACTCCCAGGCAGATGAGGTCTCACTGATCCCTCCCCCAGTCTTTTAGAGTATTCCCTCCCCAACCTCTATCCACATTTTAGGCACTAGATGGATTTATTTCAAACTGCCAGGTGACTTCCCCATTACCATCCTCTACCAGCTAGTTTCAAGAAGAGAGGCAGCTTCCCTGGAGAGCTGCTTCCCAGTGTTGTTCTCCATAAACCATTTTACAGTTCTACAGCTCCTTTCCTTTTCCTTGAATCAAAGGCACTACAAAGAAAATGCAAATGAAGACAAAACCCATATCCTGGAACTCCTTCCCCCCCTCCCCCTCTATTCTCAAGTTAGCATAACTAAGGTGAAACTTTAAGTCCTGATGAATGTCAAAACCCCACCTCTCTCTCATACAAAGTACCATTTTCCCCCCTCTACTACTCTTTCCCACAATAGCTTGCTGCTCACTCACCTCTTTAGAGCTGCTGGGTAGGTAATTCATTGCAGCTGCCAAGCATCCCTGTGATGCCAGGAGACTGGCATATTGGGTGATTCGTTCTGCCAAGACAGGGCCTGGCGCTGGTCCTGCTGTGCCTTGGAGCATCTCAATGGACCTGCTCAGCACCATCACCTTCTCTATAAGATCCTGAATAATGCAGGGGAAAAGAAGAAAGAAGACTACTCAGAATCTGACTAGCTTTACTGGTCTATCTCATGCTGAGACAGTACCAGATGGCTCGCCCACTTTCAGCTGACATCAGGGCCGATGTGGACAGAAGTTACTGCCCTCTGCACCAAATACTGCCACTGATGACCATTTCCCCAGGTGCACTTGGAGAAAAACAGGAACCAGGAAGCAAACCCTGACATTGCTACTTTAATAGTAAGGGAAAAAAAGAAAATCAGAAGCCACAAGATTGTTAAAATCAACTGTGATCATGTTACAGGTGATCAACTTGGAAGAGGAAGGCTTAAAACCATACCAAGAGAAATTCACTAAAAAAAACTACTACTGCTGGCAAAAGGACCACAAGGTTTTTAGTTACTCAAAACTCCTTCAATGCCTAGAAATGAAAGTAGTGTTTACAGCTGTAGAATGATACATGCTGATATCCGGCAACCAGGAGGAGGCCAGTTTCAAAAACAACCAGGAGTGCTGAAGATGCCATTTTGTTGCTTTTATTCAGTAGTGGGATTACAAAACCAGGAAACTCTGTAGCAGAGGGCATTATCTGCAGATATCCAAGTGGAAGACTTGTCTAGCCCATTCTAGCAAGTGACAGACACAACAGGGCTTAGTGACTTAGCCAGGACTAGATTAAGTATAAAGACTATGGAGATTAACTCAGTTGGTCAGAGCATGGTGCTGGTAATACCAAGGTTGTGTGTTCAATCCCCATATGGGCCATTAACTTAAGAGTTGGACTCGATCCTTGTGCGTCCCTTTCAACTCAGATTATTCTGTGAAATAAGAGATAGGAATGAAGAGAGGAAAGTAACAACATTGACTTAGAAGTCCTGATTTATTTGCAAGATGTGACTTCCCATATGTGATCACTCTCCTTGCAGTAGGAATATCATCATCATCCAGACTTCATTTTATTTTGCTAAGGCTGCTCTGAAGGTACAGCCAGATAACTGCAGCATTAAGTTATACATGACAAGCACAGCAGCAAATGTATCCCAGGCTACTACCAGTAAAAAAAAAAACCGTATAGCTCAAACTTCCCTGTCTAAAAGGAAGCTCAGAGATGGCATCAGTATGTAAGAGAGGCAGGTAGGCTGTAACTCCTATCTATGGCTGGATTTACATGCAATGTAAACATACAGACCCTGAATTATTAAGAGTGCAAGCCTCCTTTCAAACTGGGCCCAGGCTAGAAGGAGATACATGGGTGAGTACAAACAGGTCTCCACTGTCTGCTGGAAGCCAGATACCCTGATGGGAAAATCTGAACAGTTCAGGACTACGAGACTGGCCTAAAGAGGAGTTAAATGAAACATCATAGTGCCTGTACCTGTAGGGCAAGTGGTGACGAAGTCTCATGGTTTTTTACCCAGCATTCCACCAGCTTCTCCACATTGCCTGATGAGATATAGCAGAGGCAGGCATCATTGGAGAGGGCTGCATCTCCCTCTGACTCCAGGCGGGCACCCAGCATGTCTACAGAGGAAGAGATGCAGCCAACATTTAACACACTCCCCTTTGGAAGAGCTCATTAACCCCACTGCTTTGCATCTGCACCTAATTAGAATTATAGAATCATTTAGATCAGGAAAGAACATTAAGATCAAGTCTAACTATAAACCTAACACTTCCAAGTCCAAAATTTTAAGTGCCATATATACAAGGCAGCCTGTTCCAATGCTTCACAACCCATTGAGTGTAGGTGATTTTCCTAATGCCCAATTTAAATTTCCCCTGGTATAATTTGAGGCTGTTTCTTCTTCTCCAATCACTTGTGATTTTGGAGAAGTACAACCTTCTTTTGGGTAGTTGTAGAGAGCAGTAAGGCCACTCCAAACCTCCTTTTCTCCAGGCTAAACAACCCCAGCTCCCTCAGCTGCTCCTCATAAGACTTGGGATCTAGACCCTTCACCAGCTCTATTGCATAACTGTTGGATAACAAAGAAATGGGGAGAAACCCAAAGCCAACGTGGTTGGAAATAAAAAAACCACCATTTTCTACGTCTGCCAATTTTTATGTCTGCTCAAACACATAAAAGAAATGACAGATGAATTCAGTAAAAAAATCCAACATTTTTAAAAAATTTCCAAAAGAGGTGTGGGAATCTCCAGGCAATAGTAGGGTGCTGAAACCTGTTTTAGATGGAATGAAGCTCACTGCACCTTTTACTGTAAATGAAATTCCTTTCTCTACAGAATAAAAATCACCCTCTTCATGTCTCATCCTAGGGATAGCATCTATCCTGGTGTTTTTCCATGCTACTTCTAGAGGTCACAGGAAATATCCACATATACAACTTTACACCACGATTCTCAGCTACAGTGTGCACCTATCATTCTTCCTAACTCAACAGTCCAAACTTAAATAAGTTCCAGGTAGCTGTAACGAGAAAGAAGTGCTTTCTTTTCTTAACTCTATCGACTTCTATCTATAAGCAGTCCAGAGATACCCCCTGCAAGGGAAATTGTATCAAAACATAGTACACTACATACCACAGAGCTGAGTGTAGTCTTCATGCTTTGAATATGTTAACAAGATGGCCAGTGCCTCCTTCCAGCTCTGTAGATCACACGTGAAAACAATATCTTGCCAGTTCTGCTGCACAATGGAGGAAAGCAGCTGTAAGGGAAGCAGAAGGCCTGTCAGTCACTGAAGACAAAGATAAGCTGACAGTCTAAGCAACAGCTCACTTTCAAACACGCTTTCTACAATGCAGTGACTATCTCACTGGACATTAAGGTCCAACAATCTCAGCAACCCTATGTTAGCAGTAATTGGAACCTGGTGCCTCTAAGGAAAATAAAAAGGCCCAACAACGCACGTAAAAGAATATGGAAACAGCCACACTAGACAAGACTAAAGATCTAACACATATCTTTTTTCAGAGCAGCTGTTATCAGTGACCGGGAACACAGTGTTAAGGTATCTCAACCTCTGTTACACTTCCCCATTTGTAAATTAATAAGCTAGGAACTTCCTAGTTGAGCTGTAAAGGGGCAGTATGCATCACAGGTTACATCCATTAAAAAATAAGGAACAGATAACACAGACATACTATGTAGACAACATAAAATTGTCATAAAACTACCAGGCTATTAGAGTAAATGTCATGTCAGTAGGAGATGCACAGATTCTGCTGATATTCTACTTCCTTCATTGAAGAAAAAGCACTTCCACATATATTCAGAGAAACATTTGGCAAGACAGTGCACACCTTCCCCTGCTCAGTGTGTACACAGAACCATCACTTACCACAGAGAGATTTGTCTTCTGCTTGGCAAAGTAGCGCTTCTGGGTTTCCTTCAGGAGGGTATCCCCACCAGCTATAGCTAAGATGATGGCATCAGCAAAGCGCTCTGCTCGCATGCACAGCTCCACTGCACCCTCAAAATTCCCCAACAAAAGGGCCTGGCTGATGAGTCCATCTGTATCTACAGAGGTGAGAAGCGAGTCAAACCAAACAGTCATCACCCAGATTCATTGATGATGTTTGTTTTAAAGAGCAGGCAGTAAAAAGCAGTAACAGCTAAAAGCCCAGCTAAGAGAAAATTCGGAAACTCAAAAAAACCCATTGACTTGACTCTAAGTCTTCCATAATCTAGAAAATTCTTCTGTATTTTTAATGGGTCTCTCATGTGGGAAAAGTATTTCTATGCTCAATGATACTTGGTCATATGTTTTAAAAGTATCCATCTGCTGGAGTGAACTAGATTCTTCCTGGTCTCTCAATTTTCTGGTTTTCCCTCCTCTCCCCTTTTCTTAAGAGGGCAGAAACACTCTTTATATAGCATACCTTCTGTGACAGGTATCTCCAATGTACTCATATTCTGTGGGATGAGGTTATCAAAAAAGGCTGAAGAGGAAGAAACAGCAGCTACATCATCGCTGGAATTCATCAAAAGCTGTGCAAAGAGTGCAAAAGCTTATTTAATTCACTGCACACACATATCCTACCCAAAACAGTTTAGTGGACTACAGGGTGGGATGGGGCCGGTCTCCATTTGGCTATGCATGCTCATATAAATCTAATTTCAATTTGGAAACTCCTGTCACTGTGAAATCAATCTGTACAGTTTCACGAGGGAAGCAACAAGAGCAATGCTGCAATTGACAAAGCTTAGGAGATTGATGGTGCAAGACATGCAATGCCAACAGCACTGCTGGGCAGCATTCATCAACTCAACTGTCAGCCCTTGAGCAAGGTGAACTATTTTGGATGGAACAGAGACAAGACCAGCAAGTAAAATCTGTAAATAACAGGTTGGATCACAGCCATGCGTGGTGCTTTACTGAAATGCAGGACACAATTGCTACTTCTAGAATATCTCAGCCAGTGTTTGAGGCTTGTGAAGATGATTACTTATCAGAGGATATAAGTTTTAGATACCTCAGAGGAGCAAAATTTACAGTGAACCAGGCCTTGGAAGGCATCTGAAGATGGACATCCCACAATTATGTGATAATACATTTCAGAGGATAGAGGTGAAAATGAAAGAAATACCATAGCAGAAGCTTCACACAGGAAATCCAGAACAGTAGGCTCAAGTTAAGCTGGGGTGAGGGTAATTCTACCACTGAAGAAATCAACACAGGTGAAACCTTCTTGCAGGAATAACAGCCAGGAGTCCTTCACTGTTCACTGATTAGTTTTAAAGCCAGAAGGGAAAGTTATTATCATTTAGTCTGACCCTGTGAGGGTCTGACAGGCCTGTTAACTGCCCTCTGCAATGCCAGCATTGAGCCTAGCAAATTGTGGTTGGAATTAGACCTTCCAGTTCATTCTGCCCTCCCCTGCTCTCCCAAGCTGGCAAGATGTACAGGACATACCTGATCCGGTGCAGCGTTTGTACTGCCTGCCTCAGGAAGGGACTGCTTGACTGAGATCCCGTTACTCAAACATGAGGTGATCTGGAAAAGTGACAGACACACAGAGTAAAGTCCCTATCAAAGTAAGCACCTGGACAGCAAAACTACCAAGAGACTGGCAAGTCCCAGACACAATTCCCCCAACTCTTTCACCTGTTTGAAAACTTCCACTTCACTCTATTCCTGGCTGGCTGCCTATGAGGGACTATTTATCCTTTTCAGAGCATTATCCATCATTACTATGCCAGACTGTCTTCCACCTGTCACCTTCTTCCTGGTTGAAGAATCCCCTGAGACGCAGAGAGCTGAATGCTAAAAGAAGCTCTCACAACTGCACTGTTGTTAAACACCTCCCAGTGCACCAACAACTGAAATCAAGATAATTGGGCTCAAGACCCCTTTGGCTTGATTCAGTACAGCTATAGTTACATCCTTACAAGTGCTTGCATTTGCTTTTTAGTGAGGTATACTTCATGTGACTCCCAGCTGAAATTTCACACAGTTTGGTCTTTTGTGTGCTATGAGATCACTCGCTCAGTTCCAGTAGGACTCTACAACTCTACTGCAGCAGCTTTAGTCCTGTAAAGGTTTTTATCTATTGGAAATACCCCTTACCTTTTTTTGCAGATCCTCTTTACTGTAGCCCAGCAGCTTGAGAAGTTTAGTCCTGGACTCCTGCTCCAAATTCACCTGAGTCCAAATGGATATTAAAAAGACAAAAAATATGTAAAATCATAGATATCTACACACTGACAATAGTTAGCTGCATCTGACAGCAGCACAGTTTAGAGTTCAGTTTATAGATACAGAATTCAACTATGAAAAGCCTACCTAATTACTATTGCATAAAGAT